ATGGTCGTCCAATGTTATCCTTCCTTTTTTTTTTCTCTCTCCTTTTTTTTTTTTTGTCTTCTAAAGAAACACCTTTCAATAATAGGACGAAAAGCCAGTAGTTCAGACAATTTCCAGAAGGATTTGCCATCTTTGCTCCGCTTCTTCACTCTTGTCTTTCAAGGCGACTGTCGACCAGGAAAGGTCGGTGGGACAACAGGGGAAATAGCCATTGTCCGTTGACCTTACCTTAGAGAATTAGCGTTGGCCACAAACTGACGTTTTGTAAGTATTGTTGCCTTGTGTAGAATGTTTGTTGCCACGGCCTTTGTGATTCTGATCATTTTTAAAAACTTTTTTCTTTCCGATTTTCTCTTTATTTTTCTTTTCAGTCATCTTTTTCGTTCTTTAATTTATTTGGATTATTTCATTTTTAAAAGTTCTACCGCAATTGGCCTCTGACTTTTTCCATTTCTTTTGTTGTCTGCGTTATTTTTGCGTTTAGTTTCATTGTGTAAAAGTTTTCTTTATCTTTCTTTTCTTTCTTTCTTTCCTTCTCTTTTTCTTTCTTTCTTTCTTTCTTTCTTTCTTTCTTTCTTTCTGAGTTTTTATATATATATATATGTGAATCTTATATTTTGATTTTTTCTTATTTTTTCTTTCTTCTTCCGTACCATTTTATTGCTTCTTTTTTTTTCTCTCCTTTCAGTTTGTAATTAAGTTAGGATTATCCTTTATTTATTTCCCTCTTTCTTTCTTTCTTTCTTTCTTTCTTTCTTTCTTTCTAATGAATTTGTTCATTTTTCTTTCATTATATCTTCTTTTATTTGATGTATTCCATCTTTCTTATTTCTTTCTGTCTTTTTTCTTTTTCCTTACTGATTTCTCTTCTTTCTTTCTGTTTGTATTTCATTCTGATTATTCATCATTGATTTCTTTTCGTCGTGTCCCTCTCTTATTTTTCTCTTTCATTAATTTCTACTTTCTGTTCTAAATTCTTCCCTTCTTACCATTATTCTGTCCTTTTGCTTAGTTCTCTTTTCTTTTTTCTTTCTTTCGTTATTTTTACGCCATTTTTGTTCTTTCTTTTTTTCTTTCTTTCTAAATACTTCTTTCTTTCTTATTCGTTTCAAAACTATTTCTCAGTTAATTCTTTTTAGGCGGCCATACATCTATCTCTATATCTCTCTCTTTCTCTCTCTCTATCTATATATGTCTCTCTCTTTCTCTCTCTCTCTCTATATATATATATTTTTTTTTCATTTATATTCTTTCCAGTTTTCATTTGTTCTCTGATTTTTAAATTATTTTCCTTTTATAATTTTTACCTTTTCTTTTTAACATTTTCATTCATACATTCATTCTTTCTTTCTTTCTTTCTTTCTTTCTTTCTTTCTTTCTTTCTTCCCAACTCTCTTTTTCTATTTCTTATTTTATCTCTGCTTTTATGAAGTTTTTTAATAATATTTTTCTCTTCATATTTTCTATTCCTGTCTATTTTTCTATACTTTTTTTCTTGTTTGTGATAATTTCTTTCGTTTTTTATTTACGTCTTTAATTCTTGACTTTCATTTTTCTTCACTTTTCAAAAAAAATATGCTTCAATATTTCTATATTTTAATTTTTTGCCTTTTCCTTCCTTCATTCTTTCTTTCTTTTTTACAATTTTCCTCTTTTATTTTCCATTTGCTCATTCTTCAAGCCTTGCTTTCAGCCCGCTTTTTTTTCTTTCTTTCTTTCTTTCTTTCTTTCTTTCTGTCTCTCCCTTAGCATAGTATTTTCCTCTATGCTTTTTCTTTCTTTCTATTTTTCTTTCTTTCTTTTTGCTTTCTTTTTTCTTTTCTTATAGTTTTCCTCTTTTATTTTCCCTTTTCTCATTCTTCAAGCCTTGCTCTCTGTCCTTTCTTTCTTTCTTTCTTTCTTTCTTTCTTTCTTTCTTTCTTTCTTTCTTTCTTTCTTTCCCTTACCTGAGTATTTTCCTCTATGCTCGTTTTCTTTCTTTCTTTCCAGGTATTTTCTTTCTTTCTGTCCCTCGTTTTAGTATTTTCCTCTTTCTTTCTTTCTTTTTTTTTTCTTTCTTTCTATTTTTTCTTTTTTTCTTTCTTTTTTTTTCTTTTTTCTTTTCTTTCTTACAGTTTCCCTTTTTATTTTCCTTTTTCATTCTTTAGCCTTGCTCTCTTCCTTTCTTTTCTTTCTTTTTTTTTCTTTTCTTTTTTTTTCTTTTTTTCTTTCTTTTTTCTTTTTACCTTTATTTTCCTCTATTTCGTTTTCTTTTTCTTTTCTTACTTTTCTTTCTTTCTTTTTTTTTTCCCTTTTGTCATCCCTTAGCATAGTATTTTGCTCTCTTTCCTTTCTTTCTTTTTTCTTTCTTTTTTTCTTTCTTTTCTTTCTTTCTTTCTTTCTTTCCCACCTCTTTATTTTTTTTTCATTCTTCAAGCCTTGCGTTTTCTTTCTTTTCTTTTCTTTCTTTCTTTCTTTCTTTCTTTCTTTCTTTCTTTCTTTCTGTCCCTCCCTTAGCATAGTATTTTCCTCTATGCTCTTTCTTTCTTTCTTTCTATTTTTCTTTCTTTCTATTTTTCTTTTCTTTTTTCTTTTTTTTCTTTTCTTTCCTTTTTCTTTCAGTTTTCCTCTTTTGTTTTTCCCTTTTCTCTTTTCTTTCTTTCTTTCTTCTTTTCTTTCAAGCCCCTTGCTCTCTGTCCTTTCGTTTTCTTTCTTTCTTTCTTTCTTTCTTTTCTTTTCTTTCTTTCTTTCTTTTTTTCTTTCTTTTCTTTCCTTAGCATAGTATTTTCCTCCATGCTCTTTTCTTTTCTTTCTTCTATTTTTCTTTTTTTCTTTTTTTTTTTTTTTCTTTCTATTTTCTTTTCAATTTCCTCTTTTATTTTCCTTTCATTCTTTGAAGCCTTTCTGTCCTGTCTTTTTTTTCTTTCTTTTCTTTCTTTTCTTTCTTTTCCCTTCCCTTCCTCATATTTCCTCTATCTTTTTTCTTTATTTATTTATTTATTGATTGCCCTTGCTCTCTGTATTTTCCTTTCTTTCTTTCTTTCTTTCTTTTTTTTTTTCTTTCTTTCTTTTCTTCAGTTTTTCTTTTTATTTTTCTTTCTCCTTCAATCTTTTGCTCTTTGTCCTTTTTTCCTTTCTTTTCTTTATTTCTTTCTTTTTTCTTTCTTTATTTATTTATTTATTGATGCCTCTCGCTCCCTTAGCATAGTATTTTCCTCTATGCTCTTCTTTCTCCTTTCTTTCTTTTTTCTTTTTTCTTTCTTTCTTTTCTTACAGTTTTCCTCTTTTATTTTCTCTTTTCTCATTCTTCAATCTTTGCTCTTTGTCCTTTCTTTCTTTCTTTCTTTCTTTATTTCTTTCTTTCTTTCTTTCTTTATTTCTTTATTTATTTATTTATTGATGCCTCTCGCTCCCTTAGCATAGTATTTTCCTCTATGCTCTTCTTTCTTTCTTTCTTTCTTTTTTCTTTTTTCTTTCTTTCTTTTCTTACAGTTTTCCTCTTTTATTTTCTCTTTTCTCATTCTTCAATCTTTGCTCTTTGTCCTTTCTTTCTTTCTTTCTTTCTTTCTTTCTTCATTTCTTTCTGTATCCCACTCTCTACCTTAGTCTTTTCTTCTATGTTCTTCTTTCTTTCTTTCTTTTTTTGTCTCTTTGTCTCTTCTTCATTCTGATTAGTCTTTCTTTCTAAACTTCTTTTTTTCCATCATTTACTCTTCTTTATTATCTTCCTTTTTCTTTTATTTACATTGTTACTCTGTTCCGTTGTCATTATTATTCAAACGTAACGAAAATGAAAAGACCCCAAGTGCCAACGTCCCGAGTTATCAAACGAAATGTGATACGAAGTCTCTCAAACCTTCGATTTATTCCCCCGTCTACGTTTTTTATTCTTTCTTTTTTTTTTTTTAAACAATCTTTTCTCTCTTCCCCTCCATCCGCCTGGCTTTAATCAATTCAACATCTTGTCATTGGTGTATTTTCAGAAGTCTGCCTTGTTGTTCTTCCTGATATTGGAAAGAGAAAAAAATAGAAGTCTTCTCCAGAATCTCTAGGTTTTAGCTTCTTTTTTTTCTATTATCATTTGTTGTCTCTACTTATGGAGATTCTTTTATGTTGGCGGCCTTTTGTCATCGGAAAGACGCAAGCCGCAAACGGCTACAAGAATGAAGCGAACAGAACATGCAAGAAATTTATATCGAACATGAACTCTCTCCAGTCGCAGCAAAAAGGCGAGAAACAATGTTGCGTTTAAAAAAAGAAACTATGAGTAGATTTTATTTAATCCACCAAACTTCAAACAGAAAATTCGCTCCCAATTTTACAAATTGATAAGTGCATTCCTTTTTGAGATATAATAACAGACGCGGAAAGAGACACAAACTTATGTAGCACACTTGTAAATTATTAGACACTGATTTATTAAAAAATGACGTCGTCATCTTGGTTCTTACAGACACTATGTTTCAGCTATTTTTGTAGAAGCTTACGGACATATCACGCCGAAACAGAGGTTCCCGTGCGATTACCGAAGTTAAGCAACGTCGAGCCTGGTCAGTATCTAAATGAGTTACAGCTTGGAAATGCCACGGGCGGTCAGATAGGATGTGCGGGTTGTGTAATGAATAATGATTCAGAATTGTTAATCGGAGAGCAGAGTTACAATTACCGTTGGGTTCGTTATATTCACTTGCGAAAGTTAACTCCAAATCTTCCCCCCAGCTATGGATTAAATAGTAAAACGTGTATCAATAAATCATTACTATCACAAAAAATAAATAAGAATTCTTGTAATCTAAAAAAATAGTTTATGGCTTTAAATAACCTGCAATTTTTTTTATAAACTGCAGAAAACGAATCAATCAACATATTTTTAGAGGAATTAGCATTATTATAAAACTAATTAACCACAAATTGGTTGTTGTCGATACAATATTTCAGCTATTACTTATAACTGAAACTAGCAGTATTATAATGATTTACGGAGCACAAGGCCGAAAGTAAGGAGCACCCAGTGAGGACCGAAATTACTACTAATTCGTAACTGATCTAGCAAGACAAGCTCGTTAACCATTACACCACATCGAAATGTCCTAGTTATATGCTAAGCAAGGTCGAAAGTAAGGAGCACCCAGTGAGGATCGAACTCCCTACTCAGTCGTAATTGATCTAGCGAGACAAGCTTACTAACCATTATACCGCCTCGAGGTGCCCTAATGTTTTTCTAAGCGTAGCTTAGATGTGTTACAAGGCCGAGATTACAGAGCCCCAATGAGGATCGAACTCGCTACTCAGTCGTAAGCTTACTAACCATTACACCACATCGAGATGTTCTAGTGATATTCTAAGCAAGGTCGAAAGTAGGGAACACCTAGCGAGGATCGAACTCGCTAAGTCAGTAGTAATCGATCGAGCGAGATAAGCTTGCTAAAGATTACACCATGTCGGTGCGTACAGCTGGCATTTTTATACAGCGACTAATTTAATCTTTTTTTTTTCCTCATTTCAATCTGTTTTAGTCACAATATGTTAGTTGTTTTACACTCCATTCTCATTCTACTCTTCAGAAGAAGACGAAGAAGAACTCTTTATTCATTCCACCGGCATATGAAATTCCATTCTGCCATCAATAGAAGGAAGATAACTCGTAACTATACATGTATTATCTCTTCTGCTCTTTTAACTGAATCAGATAGTATAATTTTCACAGCTTGAAATGAACACAAGGACATCAGCTTACATAGACTTAGCCATCACATATACACAGTTGGATAACTAAGGAATAAAAGTTTTAAAACTTATCCATATAATTAAGATCAGATCCGCCAATAATAATAAATACTCTTGTTCTCTTAGGAACTCTCCGTAACATAGCTTGAATAAAAAAGATGCATTCTTGTCTTATGACCCAAATTCTAACAACATAAGGCACACAGGTGATTCGGTGTTGATAGCAGACTGAATGGAATCGACAGGAACTTCTAAATAAAATACAAGAAAGGACAATTCATCAATTGTAAGAAGACGCAATGTGTGGTAGTTGCTAAGAAGAACAATACAAGACGTGAGATACGAATTGGAAACATCAAAATCTAACAAGTACCAAGATTTAAGTATATGGGATTTGTTGCTTTCTGTGTGGTCTCTGGGTCCCCATGCTACTCCATAAAACGGTATCAACGAAAAGGAACCTTTTCTTTTACTATTTGTTTTACTAGAAGAGTGCGGTGGCCGCTTGGATTCTAAGAGGCAGTAGGAGGAATGACGTCATAGGAACGCATGTCGCACGTTAACGCGGGTGTTCTTAGCCGGTCTCTCAACCTGGGTATAGAAGACGTATCGACGCTTCAGAATTCTTGTGATACATTGTTCAATTCCCACCGCTTTTTTTTTTTATTTATATCTAAAATCTAGTCAAAATACAACACCCACGAGGCACTTCGACAAATCGCTGACCATTCTGGCTCTGGTCTTCGCAATCTGTAACAGATTTTTTTGTTTTTTTAAATATACAGTAAAAAATCAGAAGGTGAAGTGAAATAACGAAAGACGCCTTCCAAATGCTAATCATTATAAACAAAGATACAAGGGCTGAATTTACTGTGATATATAATCTCCTAAATTACATTGATTACTGGAGATTCTCTCCCTAAATGAAGAAAAGACTCCATTCCAGCCTTCACAAAATAAAAAAAGCCCTTTACGCGGATGACTTACTTTCCACTCTACAGTCCCAAAGATGCAACGTCGCAAGCTTATCGCTATTCTCGTCCTGGGTATGACGATAAACTACATCCGGCAGCAAGGCCTCTGATCCGTAGTTACTGGGTAGCATGGGACCACATCTTAATTACTGTAGTTCCAAAGATCCACCCTAACCCTGGGTGGAAGCACCTATTAGGATCCCAGCTATGGGGAAATAGTTAACCAAACAAACTGAGGCAAAAACATTATGAAATGTTAAAAATACATTTTTATAGTAAAATTACATTTATTATTTTTTATAGTAAAATTACTTTTTACAATTAATTAATTTTCATAGTAAAATAAATTAGCAACAATATATTTTTGTAAATATATATTACCATCAATACTTTTTTGTAAGTAAACAAAAATATTACCAGTAATACATTTTTCATCAAAGAAATTATCATTACTTCTAAGTAAATTAAATTTCAGCATTAAATGACCCATAAGGAGTTGATATGCCACTAAACAAACTATCGCTATTCTATCTCTATTTGCATGGCAAATGTTCAGATTATTGCCACTCTTTAGCTGCACTAATCAGACCTTTACAGATAGAATTCTCTCGACTAAATCCACAGAGTTGAACCACCCACATTTTCTCCGTATTCCATTTATAAGGAGGAAGTTCAATTAAGACAAAATATTTTTTAAAAAAGTGCTAGAAGAGGCTCCTGTATTGAGTCTACCCTGCGCTCTAAAATCTTAACCTTTTCACGTCAGAGCCCAATAGATATATATATCCTCCTTAGCCTCATAAAATTAACTTCATTCTGCCTCCTCGTATATTAATATCATATAACTCATTCACTTATCCCTCTTGATGAATAACCCTGAGTATTGTACTGGGTAAGCATTTATACTTTTAAAAAGAATTTCTAGAGACTTTCTTCTTGATTTTGGATTTACATACTAACGATGTTGATCTAAATGTTGCCATAAAAAACAACTGAAATTAAAATGAAAGAAATGCTTCTCTAACATTATTAATAAATGAAAATATATCAGTTAAGAAATCGATATATATTACTCGTAATGCTACTTGCTTCTCTAAAATAAAGATTGTGGCGTATCAAGCACTTTGGGAAAAATTTTTTAAAATAGTTGTATGCATAGATTTAGATGATGTTTTCGGTTCATCTTCGTATATTTAATTGGTGAGATAGCACTGTAAAACAGGTTATTGATAGTTATTTTCTAATTGTAGCTTAGATGGTGCACTTCGTGTAGATCGAACTTACTAATCAGTCGTAGTTGGTCTAGCGTGACAAGCTGGCGAACCATTACACTACGCTTGGGTTCCCAAAATGTCCCTTCTGATATGATGCATGATTTCATGTTTCACTTCACATATGTGTTGTTTATTAGCAATCTTGAAATGACGGTCTGAGAGTTGCTATAAAAAGTAACAGAAATTAAGATGTGAGGGGCAAAATAGGCACCAGTCAATCGTGAGAGGTTATGGAGTCTTCCCGGTGTGGATTTAATCCCTGTTGAAGACGCCTGGCCTGGTAATGGTAAAATAATGCAGGAAACTTCCGGCATTCATTGAGCAAAGTGTTAGCGTTAGTGTCGATAGAGATATATAAAAACAGTTTTTCAGGAAAATAATCTTCTCAGGTCCACTAACTGTTATCGCTCTTTCTAATACTGATGGAAGTTTCCTTCCTAGCCTTTTGTTAAGATATTATGTCAGCACATTGATTATAACATTATTTCCCTTCTAGTTAAATATGCCATCCATTTCATTTGTTGCTTCTGTTGGAAGTCTTCATGTAATGTGTTTTCTTTTCTGTTGTAAACTTCATCATTCCTTACTTCCAAGTCGAGATGATCGTCTCCCTTCGATCTTGGATTTCTTTAACCCTCATAACTCTGTAGTTTATATTAGATGTGTGCTGACGACACTTATGTCACAGTTGCTAGGAGAGAGCAAAACACCTGGTGTGATCAGTGGTTGAACAAGGCCAGTACATTCATACGCTCAGTCATGATGGCTTGTAACATCGTTCTACCTCAACCATCGACGGCTTCCGAACAGCTTCGGCTAGCAAGTTTCATTCAAAAGCCTTGAGTCTAACCGTTGTATAGTTTTCGGGTATTTCCAAATAGGATCGTCTCCCGAAGTTAATATTATCAAGAAGGCACTACCTTGAAAGGATCAGCCTCCGTCAGGTTTGAACTCGGACTTCATGTTTTGAATGCTGATATTGTAACCGCTCGGCCACGCGACTATTAAATGAATGTAAATAAATGAAAAAGCTGACCAACAGTTATAAATTGGCCCTTACAAATGGGTTTAGAGTGGTTAGAACGCGTTCGAATTTCGCCATGGTCGATTTGTCAGGAAGGTGATTTTTTGATGTTGACGGTCTGGAGGAGGGGATACCAGCGTGCGGCCCGTTTGGAAAGAGCCTAAAAACCATACGATGAGTTGACCCAAGCCTTATATGTGATACCGGGTAGAATTGGGAGCCGATGATGGTTGTGTTAGCATGAAGTCACAAGTCATCGTGACCGAGGTTTTGTGCGTGCTGGCCTTGTTCAGACTTGATCAGGCTAGGTAACTCGCTCTCTATCAGCAACTTTAACTAAAGTCCGCTAAACATAAACCACAGGTTGTCTCTGTGGGTTTTAAACAAACAAGCCTGAGCAGGCGTCTGCAACGAGGATCAGCTAGCCGCCCTACTAGACTGGCATCCTCGGATATGAGTGGGCTGCGCCATTTCCATTTTAAAAATGAAATAAACATTTGAAACATAAATCTAATCCACGTGGAGATTCGTACAAAATATATCATCATTCGTATTCTTGTAAAATCCACAGGATATAAAAATATAATCCCTGTGCACAGACTCACTCTTGAAAATCTTCAGCAATCTCGATTTAATATTACCCCTACACTGACCCCTCGCTTCAATTCCGGTCGCACAGCCATGTCATCAAGCACTACAAGACAAGATGAAAAGACATCGGCAATAATCCCTAACTCTTGGGTGAAATTTGTTTTGAGGTAGGCGTTTGCTATACTTCAAAGTAGCGCTCAGGAAATTAAAGGTCCGTGTGTGGTCAGACCTGCTGTTGCATTGCAGTAAGAAATGGTGCTATCCACACTACAGGGTCGAACGACACGTCGACTGAGAGCAGGCGGATGGAGAGAGTGCCGCGAACGATGTTTCAGGGGTAATAAGGGGCTTTGTGGCGCACACGGAAGAAAGGAAAGGCGCGCATAGCGAGTGTATGCTTTTGGCCAAGATTATAATTGTAAGCAGTGAAATTTGTTTATGTCTTCTGCCGTCTCATTTTTATTTATTTATTTACTGGAGATTAATGGCTTTAATCCACGAAGTAAATGTGGTGTAAGGAAACTCTTTGAAAAGGGTACCAGTGAAGATCATTTTGTTGGCGGACATGACCGAGGTTGGTTTGATGTGGTGTATTCCATTATTTTTAAGACTGATTCCTCCTTAAACACTTTACATGAACGACTTAGCGGCTGAGATAGTTGTGTATCAATTGAATTCTGAGACTTAACGACGCCAGATAGGCATTTTTCGATTTGAAAACCACCAGAAGACAGACGTCTCTCATCGATTTATTAAAAGATCGGAAAATTTCGTTGGAAAGAAGAAAGAAGAAAAAAAAACTATGTTATATCTAATCTCCTATTTTCTGACAGTAAATGCTGGGCAATTTCCTCAGAAAAGAGATCCGAAACGAAAGAGATTATGACTTCCAGACGACATGTTGAATATGTGAGCAACGAGGAATTTTTAAAGAAAATTTGAACTAAAATGACGCTTATACCTAAAATCAAAAAAAGGCAGTTGAAATATCTGACAGACATAATGAGGAAAGAGGGCTTCGAAAATATAACATTCTGTTGTAACCTAAAAAAGGGTTACTGAATGAGGAATAAGCAAAACGGAGTTTGGAAATGAAATATTAATTTTTATAACATCAACAAAATACAATACTCGCCAGCGGCTATAAGTAGGTAAACCACTGCTAGTGGTAGGCTACTTAGACAGCACTTACAATAGTGTCCAACTCATTTATGAAGATTGGGATATACCCGTTAGTGTTCATACGTACGGTATATAAGACACCCGACCTTTTTAGATTTATTCTGCACAGAGGCAATATCTTTTCCTTTTCTGTTTAATGTAGATTTCCTCTGTATCCCTTCTTTATCTATCTATCTATCTATCTATCTATCTATCTATCTATCTATCTATCTATGTGTTGTAACCTAGAAAGGGTTACTGGATGAGGAATAACCAAAAAGGCGGTTGGAAATGAAATGGTAATCTTTATAACATCAACAAAATACAATACTCGCCAGCGGCCTTAAATAGGTAACTGCTGGTGGTGGACTACTTAGACAGTATATTACCAGCACTTGCAATAATGTCCAACGTATTTATGAGGATTGAGGCATAGCCATTAGTGTTCATAGGTACTGTATATGACACATTCACAGGGCTGAGTGAAGTCAAGATAAAAAGAGATATATAAGGAGAAACCAACCAAACTAAATAGCTTGTGTAAAAAGATGGAAGAGCGTAGACATGAAAGGATGGTAAAATGTCAAAGATTGTTTAGAGCTACAAAAAACAAGAAGTAGTGGAGAGCCATAACCACTCACGTCCTGAAATGATATAGTGCATAAAAGAAGTAATACTGCTATTATTTTTTTTCTCTTTAAGAAATAAAATTTTGGGTCGACTATTTTATGAGTAATAGTTACATTTCATTAAAATTCGGTATTGATAACAATATATAAGTTTAATTCTGAACTTCAAGATCAAAAAACTATGTCCGGTAGCAAGGTCGCTGATCGGGAGATTGGAGGTTTTCAGAAGCGTGAAAGCAATTCTTAATTGGTGTTGTTTAAAAAAAAAACACTATAAAATAAAATAATTCATACAATACATTTTGATATAGTTACCAACAATACTTATTTATAGTAAAATGATCAGAAATAGATTTCATAGTAGAATGTCGACATATATATTAAGACGAGAAAGATTGAGATGCTGATTTTCAGGAGCTAAAAGCACTAAAAAGATAAAGAACTTCGGTAAGAAGAAGCAAAAAGAAGAAAAAAAAAGAAGAACCAAAAAGAAGAAGAAGAAAAAAAAGCAGAAGAAGAAGAAGAAGAAGAAATGAAGAAGAAGAAGAAGAAGAAGAAGAAATGAAGAAGAAGCTGAAGAAGACAAAGAAAAAGAAGAAATTGTGGAAAAATGACTCTATATCTTATATATATATATATACATGTTTGTATGTGTATTCGAAAATAACCGTACATTTCCTAATATTTATTTAAACTTATATTTCATAGAAAAGAGTGGAAAAATCACTGAAGAATTTATTCAGCTTGTAAATATTTAATTTTGTTTATATTTTATATATATATTTGTATGTGCCTGTGAAAATAAGCGTACATTTCCTAATATTTATTTATATTTATATAATTTAATTTAATGTAATATATAATTTAATATAATAATATTAATATAATTTAATATTATATCATATGTATACACACACACACACACACACACACACATATATATATATATATATATATATATATATATTGTCATTCACAGACAGACTGTTTCACTGTATTAAATCTCATCAGTGTGACTAGACATCTGATTGCCTTAAGCCAGAATCGAAAGCCGATTGATTTGGCATCAGTCGGAGATTTTTCTACTATCAGGTTGCGCCAAAAAGGAAGGTACGTTTTTATTTTTAAATAAACACGCCAGTGACTCGGAGTGATTGATTCATAGAAGAGTTTTTTGGATATATATATATATATATATATATATATATATATATATATATGATTTTATTCTATTCTTTCTCTAGCATTTCTTTTGTCCGCTTTCTTTTTTATGCTCATTGTTACTGGTTTGTAAATTCGAGGAATATCAAAGAGAAAAGCACACCAGAACAGTTACCATGAAAATATTTATAGAAAAGGCACAAGGAAGCTACGTTTATGAAGTCGAAATGCCATATCATGACCGATAACATTGCAGATACTTGTTTGGATTTTATCAAGTACTAGCAGCATGGCTCAGCGTTGCCCGTACTTGATTCAAAAATCTTACGACTCATACAGCAATCGCTATCACTTGACTTAAAATATTTTTGCCCTTCCTTGCCTTTAAAGGAGTGCCCTTTTCGTGCTGATATTGCTACATGCCTTACTTCTTGCCTATCTCACACTGCGAATTTTTTCTAAGCTCTATACTAAACATTAAATCTGTTACGAAAAAGAACTAAACAAAATGAACACAAAACGATCAACTTTAAAAAGGACTCGTAACTGGAAAAACTGAATGAAAAAAGAATGTTAACAACAAATACTTTTTCACACCCAACCCAGTTCTGCGGAATCAGAATCAACGTTGAGTTTAAGCAAGCGAATTAGCCAATTGGAGTAAAGTGCTATGCAGATTTAAATTTTTCCCACCTGTGACGAATGCAGCTATCGATTTTTTTTGCATGCTAGCATGCTAGTTAACATTCGTGTCAGTCAGTTGTTGGCTCTCACGCTGGCCAATAGAATCTTCCTGCCTATTCGCGGCAGCCAGCTATTGGCTCTCTCCTGACCAGAAAATGGCTGCAAACTACATGAAAACTGCCGTAGAAGCATGAAAAAATCGATTATTTCCACTATCGATGGGAGTTGGGAAATGCAACGTCGGTCTTGCCCTTTCCGCTGACTTGGAGCATGTGCATGTGAATTTTGGCGCAAATCCGTCGAAAATTGCGGCTGTGCATTCGTTACACACACACACACACACTCCCTACCTTTTATAGATAGAAATCTTTAAATAAGTAGCAGAAGCAAAAGACCGGATGTAATAGCAATATTCAATGTATGGACGAATAGTCGAGTTATCAATAGGTAAGAGAAATTCTAGCAAAAATTACTTATGTAGCACTGTACAGTGAACCATCTTTCCTAGCAGGAAACCTAGCAATTAATTCAATATAATCTCTCTACTTCATATCAGCGGAAAAAGTTAGACAGAGAAGGAGCAATGTCTCATTCTCTTAGAGGTTAGCCTCCCCTATACTCAAGGAAGGCAAAAAATGTTCTCTAAGACAGTGAAAAGAGAACAAATTTCATTTTGGATTTTAATAATAATTAAACAATCAGTTAATAATGAATTGATTTATTATTGAGGAAACTTAAATGAAATATCGACGTGCCTGGAGAACGGTCTGAAAACATTGCATTGCATGAGACAAGATAATAGGCCTACTTCTAAATTCCCGGATGTTTATCTACAACATATAGCTGAAGAAAGTCGGAGCTCCCAACGACCGGGATGCTAGCATGATAAAAATCAAAATGTGGACAGAGTACATACAAATCAATGTAAAATGATAAAATTAAAAAAAAACAGTCAACAGATAATGAAAGCGTTTTCTTTAAGAAAAGCAAAGCAAAATATCTACTTGTAGATCAATAGCAACTGTTCTAACATTAGTGACGTCGTTTCTCACCGGGTGCTCTCTGATTCTGTTTTTATTCCAGTACTGAATTCATCAGACAAATTTGGAAAAATCCCTGTGGCAAATGGAGAAAAATAAAAACAGATAAAAAGGATTTTCTTTAGCGAAAATCGCGTAACTTTCTTTGTAAATAAATCAACATCCTCGCTGTATAGTCAAGGCACATCAATCACCGCTACGCGCATGCGTGTGTGCCAAATAAGGACAGAGAGAAAAAAAAAACGGTTACCGCCATTTCTTTCTTCAACACCAGGCCGCAGATAATAGGCAATGAAAACATCCACGTGTCAAATTCAATGAAAATCATTTCCAATGCGTCTCTTAGTTTTTATTTTGTTATCATTCCCGTTTTTCAGGCAACTCTGTCTTTATTTATATATTGTTATATATATATATATTTTTTTTTCCGTGGCTTTATTTTGGTTATTTATTTTTTTTTCAAGACTTCGGTCCTCTTCTTGTTCAACGTACAATGGCCACTTGTATTTTGTGACGACAAGATGCTTAGGTTTTCGTGACTTTATTAAAAGGAAGGCGAAATGACACCGCCATTATTAGCTTTGTTATTGTCATCTGCAATTCATTGTCAGGAATTCAGAAACCTTTATTTTGAGAAACTTATTTTTATCTCTTTCGGAGTCGGGCTACCATCAACAAAGCCGCTAACACCGTCACCGTCACTGAAAGCGGCATTGTCGTTTTTATAGGCCGTCATGATTTTTTGTAAAAGATTATTTATTTATACATTCGCACACACAAACTGACGTATATATATATATATATATATATATATATATATATATATATATATATATATATATATATATATATATATATATATATATATATATATATATATATATATATATATATATATATATATATATATATATATATATATGTTTGTTTTGTGTATAGCTTGTCTTTTTACATGGTTTCTATTTGTTCGATTTCTTTTTCTTTAATAATTTGTTCTCACCATAAGTTTATTTCTTTCCTCGTTCGTACTTTACACTTGTATGTCTTTATCTCGACTCACGATTTTTTTTTCTTTCGCAATTTTGCCTGCTGTTCTTTTCCCATATTCAAAGATTTCCACTAACGCAATTACAACTGAGTTGCGAGTTCGATCCTTGCCCGATGCTACACACTTTCGGCATTGTAATCTACGCGTACAAAATCCTGTTGGGCACTTTAACGTGGCGTACTGGTTAGGAACCTTGTCTTGCTAGATCAATTACGGCTGAATAATGAGTTCGATCCTCACTGGGTGCTCCATACTTTCGGCCCTGTGTCACATGTAAGATGCGCTTAGAAAAACACTCTATTCTACCATTGTTCAGCACTTCGATGTGGCGTAATGGTTAACAAGCTTGTCTCGCTAAATCAATTAAAACTTCGCTCCTCACTGGGCGCCAGGTACATCCTGTTTACAAAATACTTTCTCGGTACCATATTGGGATTTCATAGTTAGCAAGCTTAGCTCGCTAGATCAATAACGACTGTGCAGTGGTGTTCGATCCTCGTTGCTTGCCTCGTACATTCGGCCATGTTCCATGTCTACGTGACACTAAGAAAATAATTTCTGGGTACCTCGATCGGGTGTAACAGCATGCTTGTATCGATGGATTAGTTACGTCTGAATTGTTAGATCGATTCTCAGTGGGTTTCTCATGCTTTCGTTTAGAAAATCTCCACATCCAAAGACCCTGTT